TCATTTAAATTTTGTTTTTCTTCTTAAACTAACATATTATTTTTATTTATTTTTATAAACTAAAAATGTATATATATGTATATTGATATATGCATACCTTTGAAATATGTATCTATGTATCTATATATTTTCTGCAGTAACTATAAATATGCATTTATATGCGGAAGTATACATTTTTATTTTCATTGATACAAACATTTGTCTACAATTGATTTCTAATTAATTTTGTATTTTCTCTAAACATCTTTGCATTTATCTTTTTTTGCCATATTTTAACTTATGAATACAATAACGCAATTAGTTTTTTGTTTTGTCATAAAAATCTATTTTTATAGAACAATAAATATAGTAATGTTTTAACATTAATGTATTTCATCAAGGTTGGACCAATTTATAATTTCACTTAGTTCAAATATACATTCAAGAACATTATAATACATTGCTTTTCAAAAACAATTTGATTTGTTTCAAAATCATTAGACAGCATAAACTTTTGATAAAAATACATTTTATTTAAATTAAATAATAAAATACATCAATAGTAAAACAATTTGTATTGTACAGAAAACTAAACAAAGTTGCAGTTAAAAAAATAAAATTGATGTTATAATAAAAAATATGCATTAACTTTTGATGCGTTAACGCTTTTTTTGCTATTAGATATTAAAATTTTGCTAAAATCATAAACGCGCGTCAATAATTATACGCTGAACTATAATGTTTTTTGTTAATTAAGGTTAAAATAAACATAAAAACTATCCTTTGCTATTGTTTATTTTACATATTTACGCAACAATAAAAAGTAGCCACCATCTGTGTATATATTTAAAATAAGTCATTTAATGCAAAAATGCGTAAAGTCTATTTCAATTTTTTACTAAAAATTGTTTCTAACATAATTTTTTTTGCAGCAAAATTGAGTAATTCTTTAAAAATATCAATAAATTTTCACAGTGTTTAATTTTATTTTCTTGTTGAACTGCATAAAATGCACTTCATTTAGTTTTCATTGTTTTGTTTGAATGTTTTAGAAAGAATTTATTGCACAATTACAACTGTCAACTGCATAGTTTTACGCTTATCAGCTTATCATCATATCAACTATTTACAGTCAAGTACTATCTTAGTATTTTATATTGCTCTGTGTGGGTATTGAACCCACGACCTTCTGCTCATAAGACAGATGCTCTAACCACTGAGCTAACAAA